AATCATCAATTCTTCGAACATCATGGGGGGGCTGCCGCCCCCCCCAACCCCCCTGCATTGTTTGTTTGTTTGTTTGTTTTTTTGCTGGGATTGAAATGCCCTCCTGTTTGAAGCATTATTTGTTTGACCCCGTCAACCCGCCAGCTACATTTTTGGATTTTGTTACCCACAATTTGTTGGTGATGCTAGGGATGTTGGTCGGACATGCGGGGGATGTTGACAACGATGCTGGGGATGTTGAAGAGCTAGTGTAAAATGCGTCGCAAAGGAAAGAGCCAAAGACGCAGAGTAAAACCTTGCCCATAGTGCCAGCCTGGAACCAGGGTTAGCCAAAAACCAGGGCTAGTCAAAAAAAACACCCCAACCCCTACCCCTATCTTGACACACACACACACACACTCATATTAGGATAGACATATTTAACGTGTTTCTTTACGCACGCAAAAAAATAAGAGCCCACGCATGCAGCCAGAACCGCCGTTCCTTTGGCCGCCCCTTGATGCTCAGCCAAGAGTTGCCTGGCCACCTGCTGGGTTTGAAAGCCGAGGACGGCATCGATGCACCCCAAGGTGAAGTTCCGGCCGGTGGTTCTGGAGACTTTGGTCGCACTCTTGGCTTGGTGTTTTGGATTGGGGATTTGAACCCGGAGGGTAAATGGTAAGCCACTCCAATTCACCACCAAGCCAAGACAAGCCAAAGCAACAAACACTTCAAAGTTGTTTGGAAACATGTTTTACGTGTTGGCTTATTGGGGTTTAGCGGTTGAAATCCAACCACTTAAGTGCTAACATTTGCAAATGGTTGCTTTCTCCCATTCCAACGTGAGCCAAGTTCTTGGCTCTGTCGTGGTTTCTTTTTTCTTTTTTTGTTTTTTCCTGTTCCCCGGCTTGGGGTTGTGTTGAAGGGCAACCACCAGGAGCCCGTTGGCGGAAGTGGTTCTTTCTTTTTGTCCTGATGATTTTCCGTGGCCCAGCGCTTCCCGACATCTCTCTCCGAAAGCAAATGGACATGGCTCTCTCCACGGACACTCTTGCTTTGGGGTTGTTTCTAGGACATGACCCCATGTCTATCTCACAAAGGAGGCTGCAGGGGCAAAGTTCTTCAGATGAACCCACCAACTCAGGTTTCTCTAAGGGATCTCCTTCCCCTTGACTTGTTTGAGTGTGCAATACTTTGATTCCAAGAGGGTGCGTCACATTTTCCCTTTGACCATCATCCCACCCAAAGTAAACTCACCTTAGCCTCAAACATGTGAAACTGCGCCAGATTCGGGAGGCGACGGGCCTTTGCGGCCGGCTCCCGAATCGACGGGTGCGGCACCGGTGTCCCGAATTGCTCGTGGCGGGCCTTTGTTTGCGAATCGACGGGTCCCGAGCTGCTCGTGGCGAACGAGTTCGGGGCTCCCGAATTCCGAATTGACGGTCGGCTCCCGCACCGACGGGTTCGGGGTCCCGAATTGTTCCCGAATCGGCGGACAGTCGCTCCGGGTTCGGGGCTCCCGAACCGACGGGTCGGGGCTCCCAAATCAACGGTCGGCTCCCGAGTCGACGCCTTTGGGGCTCCGGGCTCTGGGCTGAAACACCCACCAAGCGGGGGAAATCGAGTGACCTCGGTTCAACCATCCTCTGCCCTGTGCAACTAAGCTTTGCAACCCTTGGTATGGGCTTGCAAACAAATGACTGTTGCTTGAGGCCCCCTACTCATTTTTAGATTGAAAGGGACAAACAGAGCACTAACAACTGATGAAGATGTGCGAGAAATATGTGCGCAATGATTTCGGAGTCTGTTCTGGAATTTCGCGAATCGGCAGTGTATTATATGATTAAAATTCAAGTCTATGATAAATAAGTAAGTATAAATATATATATATATAAATATATATATATATATATCGTCATCACAAGGATTCGGTTTGCGACCAACAACCCAAGAGGAACTACCCTGATCCATTGCTGATTGCAGCCTGGGTTGTCGTCCATTGTGGGCTGTCGTGTGTTGTTTGAAATGAGAATGTTTAATGCGTAATGTTGTTTACAAAACGCATGCATGCATGCATGCATACATCCATTCGTACATACATATGTACATACACACATACATACATACAGACATACATACATACATACATACATACATACATACATACATACATACATACATACATACACGCATGCACACATACACGCCTGCACACATACACACATACAAACATACAAACATGCATACACACACACAAACATGGGTAGGTAGGTATGTATGTAGTACGTACATACCTACATATACATATAATACATACAATATTCCACATATGCACACCTATACTGGGATTGCCTTCAACATGTTTTTTTCCCAAAGCTTGTCGCTGGCCCTGTGGGAAATCCTTGGGGAACTTGGGTTTGCCTTGCGTTGGGGCGCGGCAAGGGCCTTTGGCTTTCCGAAAGAACAACTGAATAAGGGTGTTTCTGGGTTAGACCCCCCCCCCCCCCCCGCGCCCCGCAAAAGCAAATTACGGGGTTTCCTTTTGGTTCCTCTTGAAGCCAATCAAAAGGGGTTTTGTAAGAAAACAACTGGAGACTCCATTGCATCTTCCAAACTCAGAGGCACCTTGACATTTTTGTTGAGGGGACCCCACCCTCAAAACATTAATGCATTTTGCTTGGATGTTAGGACGTTAACTTTTTGCCAACTAACGGGTTTTCCATTAAACCACTAAAGATTAAATACTTTTAGCAGGGGAGCAGAAAGCAACCGAGAAAATATCTCCGTACAGTGGGGCACCATCCCCGCCATGAGAAGGTTTTCGCCCCTGACTTTGTGTGAGAAATAGAATTGCGCCATCTAGCGTTTGTTTCGGCCTTTTGTCATGTCTGGGCTGGACTTAGGATACATGTTGCATTTTATCAGTGACTCAAGTGAAGCAAGCAATAAACTATACATTCTATAACTGGGCCTAACTCTAATCATGATGTTGTGACTCTGGTTTACACTGCGATCACAGGGTCCTTGGTTCAGTGGCACCCTTTGTCCTCTTTTTTGGTGGCCCCACTAAAAATGGTCCAAGCCCCAAAAAGGATTCCCTTTGTTTTCCAGGGTCACTGAACTGAGGATTCATTCTCTGACAAAGGACCCTTCAAGTGTTGCTCGGGATCTTGGAGCTCCAACCGGACTTGCGATTTCCAACCACTTGTCTAGTGCTACCTTTCCCATTCTGAATCCAGGGATCCGAATCTTTCTAGAAAACCCTCTTGAACATTAGGGAAACGGATCCGGTTATCGAAAAGAACGGTGGTTGGAAAGAATGGACAAGGAATCAACCCTTGGAACTTAGGGACTGGCATGTCCAAAGTGTCCCCACCTTTTGCAGGGGATCGAACCAACATTTGGCGTTCGTCTCAGTCTCGGAGGTCTTCCTTCTCACTTCCCTTTTAAAATCCAGCAAGAAAGAGTCCCCCCCCCCTCCAAAGCAAAAAGCAACACACAAGACGCAACTACTTCCGATACTATTTGCTATCTTCCCCTGTTGGTCTTTAAGGGAAATTTCTCGCTACTGGATGTACTTGCTATTTTCGAGACTTCTGATGGGTCACGTGTTTCCAAGGAGAACTTGCCCCGGAAGAAGGCCTTAGACGAGGCCTGGTGGGCCTTGCTCCTGGCACCTCAGCAGCAGACCAACGGACGGATCTCGCGATTCACGCGATTCACTCGATGCAATTGTCCCATCATCCCCCCAACAAATGAGCATGGTGGTGTAACAATATGACTAATGTGCGTGTGTGCATGTAGCTTGTTTTGAGAAGTGCCAGATGATGTTGCATGAGCTAGGTCCCCCAGTAGTGCCCTTTCTCCGATTTTGTTTGGGGAGGGTTCCCCTGCTAAAATAGACTACAGAAAAATCAGGCTCTTTTTACTGGAGGGCCTAGGGTAGGGAATGACAACGAGTTTCCGGGTGTTGGGAATGAGCCGGTTTTGGGGATTCCCTCAAGGGAAACCATGAAGGATGGTCATTCCAACTCGTTCCTGGCTGAGAGCCCGTTTTTGTCCCAGGTTTCAGGGAGAGGTGTTGATGCCTTGTGTCCATGCTTGTTGGTTTCCTGGTTCCCTTTTGACCTGGTCGGATCAGATTGGCCAAGTAATCATGCACACCCTCCCAGTGGATCCGATTTTAGCAAAATCTGTAGTAGGAAGCAAGGGAAACCAATCTAAATACTGGAAGTCAAATTCCAGGTAAGATGCCAAGTCACGTCCCAAGTTGCTGGATTTTACACTTGAGAAGGCTTGATTTGATGCATCCAGCAGCTGAGCTTACCGGGAAGATACCTCCACAAAAACAAGGGATGTTACTTACCCAGTGAACCCTCCCTAAGGTTTTGAACGGACTTCAAGCGGGGAGACAACTCGTATTCGACCACCGAAAAATTATACGCCAGCATAGACCCCAGATAGCGAAAAACATGCCGACAACTTTACACCAGCACCTCCAACAGCACCCTCAAAGAGCGCCCCAAACAGCACCCGGCCGTCAATCTCGCAGAAATGCGCCCGCGCCGTCACTAACACCTCCAACAGCACCCCAAAGAGCATCCCAAAGCACCACCCGCACCAGCACCCCCCACCGCATACCTGTAATCTCACCAACACCTCAAACTGCGCCCCAAACAGCACCCCAAACAACACCTACTCCAGCACCCAAACTGCACCCCCAAACCCTAGGCCCTAGCACACTCCCATCAATCTCGCAAATCACTGTCCCCTTTTTATTAGAAGTTAGAAGCCCTATAGCTTTCAGCTCTCGGAAACCAAAAGCCCGCGTGGTTTTTTCCAGCAAGACCTCCTGGAAGCCTCCGGTCGCAAAGCTGCCCCAAATCACCCCAGATGCCCCATAGCTTTCAGGGGAAAAAACTGGTACGGGGGTCTGTATCCAATGCGAACCCGATTTTGGGTTGAGTGGGAATAGATGTTTCCTTCTTGTTGCTCCCAGAGTCCAGTTGCCCATCTAACTCTAACCACCTGCAGTTGTACTTGGTCCTCGTTATGGTAAATGGAATCACGTGCAACGGCCAGATACCCTGCCCACCACTTCACAGCCGGAACCGTTCAACTTTCGGGACTTGGTCCCTGTAAAAGGAAAGTGGTCCAAACCGTTTGACCGATTCTCCGAAACGTCGAACGGCTCCGGCTGTTCATTGGTGGGAGGGTCTCCTTCTTCTTAGCCAAGATCATTTCGATCAGCTAGGCTAGGGCCATGAGCTTCAGTTTGCCATCTCCAAAGGGACCCTTCACTCAGTGCCACATGCAACTGACTCGCCAGATACTTTGGTGCATTTTGCTTTGGATGTTAGGACTTTAACTTTTTGCCAACTAATGGGTTTTGAAGTAAACCACCAAAGATAATACTTTTAGCAGGGGAGCACAAAGCAACCGAGGATAGCAGTGCAGAAGAACTTGCAGGTGTCTTTGTCTGGCCAAGAAATTCTTCCGGGTCATGCTTAAAAGGTGGAGACTCCAAGAGCCAGAAATGCACAGGTCACACGTCAGGTCCTTCTTGGGCCTTTTGGCGATGGGAGGAGGCCCCTGATTTGACAAAATGAGCGTCCCAAACCCCAACTGCCAAGTGTGTGAAGACGGAATCTCTTGAGTATCTTGGCAGAATCAAACATTCATGGGCACCGACCGAAGCTCGTGTATGTACATGGGATGGTTGTCTGTTCAAAAAGGGAATGTGTGGCAAAAGGGCCGCTTTGGGTTGACCATTGTGTGTTTCCTATTTGGTCACCTCACTCTCAGACTTGTTTGGCTTCGATCCACCCGGTGACTTGATGTCTTTCGAAGAGTGACAAGCAGAAGGTCCCGGCCAAAGGCTCTCGCATGCGTTCGACAAGACAATGTGTGGAGGCCAGAGCTCAAAAGGAAATTGAAGGGCTGACACATCGGATTGTGTGGTTATCAGTTTCAGAAAGAAAGCGTCTAATCATCTTATGCAGGGCTCCTTAAAAGATGCTTTTTGCCCATTTGAAACATGGCTTTTTCCACCAACATAAAGGTACACCTCCATTTACAAGGCAATGTTCAGGTGTATAATGTAAGTAAGGATCCCTGTTATGGATGGAACAGTCAAGTCCGAACCGCTTGGTTTTGACAGGGTACTGGGACCTTCCAAATGCCGGCGTTGGGTTTCCACAGTTGGCCGAGCGAAGCGCCGCTGGAGTCGGGTTCCTCGATTTCGCACGGCCAAGGCAATGAATCTCCCAGACGTGAACGAGCAGCTCGTCACAGGGGGCAACGCGAAAGGTTTCGCCGAAACGGGGGGTTTCATACTCATCTGCTGAGTTGCCCAACGTTCAGCTTGTTTGTTGGTAGTTTAGTTCATCTCTTGTTTGGTAGGTTGGTTCCTCATTGTCGGGCAGGGGTTCAAAGATTTCAGGCTTTCCTGTTCGGTCCAACAGCATAAACGCACCTTCCATTTGATCCAGATGCCCTTTCCAAATCCTCCTTGGTAGCCAACCCGTCCGACGGATGCCAAGTTCCCCAAACTTCTGGATGGGTGCCTTAAACAACGCAAGTGGGGAGGCGAGTTGCCGCAAATGAACCGCGCGGATGTGGATCCGGGTGCCCGCGGGTTTGCTGGCTTTGGTTGCCCCACGACCCCGAGAGGCAACTCGATACTTGGGTCCCGAGGAGAGAGAGTTATCTCTCAAGGAACGGTAAGCGGATAAGAGAGGAAATGGAGATGGAAAGTGATGGCGATTCTTCCATTCCCTCTCCTCTCTTTGTGAGTGTTCATGAGAGATAGACTAGGTCCTACTAGGTCCTCCAGTAGAGAGGTTAGAATAAGGGTACCCTTTTTTCTGTAGTCTATTTTCGTAGGGGAACCCTCCCCCCAAAAAAGTTGGTAAGAGGGCACCTAGCTGGGGGACCTAGTAGAAGCTTATGGTTTTGCGGATGTCCATGAGCTATTCCTAGGTCCCCCAGTGGCGCCCTTTTTTGTGCCCCTTTTTTCGGGGAGGGTTTCCCTACTAACATAAACTACAGAAAAAGAAAAAAAACAGGTACCCTTACTCTAACCTCTCTAGTGGAGGACCTAGATTCACGCAAAGCACGGACCGAGCCCAGGCAAAAGACCAACCCTCAGCTGACCTACGACTTCTTCCTGCCCTACATGGCTGGGCAAACCCTCGAGAAGATCCGGGAGGCCAGGTCTGCGCTTGCTCTTTGGGCCGGTGTCCTGGTTCGCCTTCCCCTCCCCGAACCCCGAGCTGCTGGACCTGGTAGAAAAAGAAAACGAAGACCTGAAAAGAATGTTTGTATGTATGTGTGTGTGTTTCTAAAAAGACACTTTATTTTGCTTAGCAAGCCCCATTTGCCCTTTGTGCCGTTTTGCGGGCTTGCTTTTGGTGGGTGTCCCTTCCCAAGCGGCCAGGTTCCTTCCCTTTCGACCGAAGATATGGTGTAGAAACCATGTTGGGAGCTGCCCCCTTGGGGTCCAACAACCAACCCTTGAATCAAAAAAGTTTTCGCCGCGTCGACGTCTCTGTTCAAAAACCAGCTGGGGGTTGACAACATATTGGAGACCCCCTTTTTGGCTGGTCTCCATAAGGAAACCATAAATGGACGTCGATGTTTTGGGGCCCGCCTATTTTGAGAAGCTGAGCGAGGTCGGGCAGGGTTGCTTCCAGAGTCTAAGAGAACAAGGCTAGAACATCTCATGACAAAGCGGGGGGGGGTGGCCCCTGGCATTCCATTTTGCAGTTCCGGTTTTTAGATACCCCTCCCCCTCGAAGTAGCTGGAGGGGTTGACATGTTGGGCTTGTCTAGCCATTGCCCAAAGTAGGAGCTGTAGCCCAGCGAATCCAAGCTTTGGCACGCCAAACCCCTTTTCAGGCATTCTAAACATGATTCTTCTAACTGCATCCCCATCCAAAAAACGATGTACAGTTACAGGTCCACATACAAAAAAGCCCACTGGAAATCAAGATCAACACGCGCTTTTGTCTCAACGTATCCCACACCCTTACAGACGGCATGTTGGAGCAGATTCAACATGTGTTTCAAACATCCAGACCCTGCACCTCTAAGGGACACTAAAAGAGGAGCTTGTTTGAACAACGGCTTCATTTGCCTGCCCAGGCCCTGCTTGCTTGACTTCACTCTTCTTGGCAAGCTGTTTTTGGTTTTTCGGTTCTGCTCATTTTCAGAAGTCTGCAAAGGCAGTGAGTTTTGTGCAGAACCAACGGCTCCCGAATCCCCCGGACCTGAGGAGAGCGAGAAGCGGGAGGGCGACGACCCCGCGCTGGATTGGCGCACCCCGGCCCGGGCCCTCACCAAAGAGTCGACGTGTGAGTTGAAGCGAATCGACCTGAAAGAACCTTTGGGGTGTCCCCCAAGTTTGTTGGGTCACAGCAAAAGGTGAGGCTGTCTTTTGGGGGGTCCTTGGCGACCATGTTGGGTCGCACCAAAAGGTGAACGCATATTATTGTTGGGGGGGTCTTTGGGGTGCAAAATGAGAGTGAGTTGTACATGCATGGATGTATACGTACATTTTTATATACATATGCAGATTTCAGGCAGTACATTGCGGGGCCGTCTGTGCTTCGATGTGTGTGTTGTTTTCTGTTTCGCGGAAGGGAAGGCACAGCAACGGTCGAACCGCGTGCCTTTCAAGGGGACCGTAGTCTTCCGAAATTTTTCGGTCGGAAAGCGGGCTGCCGGGCTGCCTGCTTCACCAGGCGGCCACAAGGAGATCTTGGTGTCTAGACCCCTCTCACCATCCAAGCTTGGGAAGCCGCTTAGGGCTTTCGGCCTGCACCAGATCGACTGCGATATGACGATTGGTCAGCACAGACTGTAATTACTACGTACCAACAAACACATGGATGGAATCTTCACTGGTTGTTGGCAAGTGTTCAGGTGTTTCTTGTTTTTTGGGTTGTGCTCATTTTTAGTGGGGGGCCTCAAAACCCGAAGTTGTTTGCTACCATACCAAGGTTTGCGAAGGAAGCCTGTTGAACAGATCCAATCCCAGAGAATTTGTTCTTGGCACATTCGTTCTTTTGAGGGTTGCATGCTTTTAAGTCAACAACAGGGACCCACCAAATGGCGGCTTCATGTGCCCTGTGCCAGAAACGGGACAGTTTCTTTGCAAACAGCACCCTCACAAAGGGTTCACCAATGACTCATCTTTTCTCAAGGGTTTTCCCTCAGCTTTGGGCTCTCATCAGAAACCGTCGCCGGCCAAAAAGGGCCCTTCAGCCCGTCTTGACTCTTTGAGGTTGCTCCGAGCCAGCGAAGGCTTCAACACCGAGGGTCGATTGGTGAAGGATCTTTGCTTTTGCTGTACGTCGAAGTTGGGCAACTTCTTTCCCATGCGATCCGAACCGCTCAGAGGATCTTCCTTTTTCATTTTTCGCTCGAGGGCGAAGCAGAATTGCCCATGCTGGCAGTAGGGCCCCCAAAAAGGGCAGAACTGGTTTGTATCTCCAGGGAAACTGTGGATGGATCAAATGCTCCAGTTGGCATGGATGAAGCTGCACAAAGACTGGGACAAGCGGACCAACGGCATGGTGGATAAAATGGCAGTTCCTGCAAATGTCTTTAGCCTCGATCTACTCCAGAAATGAACATTGGCTTAGTGGAGCGTGGGACAACCCAAATCTCGAAATTCGAAGTGATGGGGCCAGTGGGGTCGGTGATAGCTGGTGCATCTAACCGAAGCTCTTTGCGAGGTGCCTGAGTGAGCTCCTAAGCTGATGAGTTCTGTTGAACATGTGGCGAGTTGCCAACGGACATCAACGGACAATACCCTCTTTGGTGTGTGTGTGTACATTATTATTGTTCAAACTTTATTAGTATTCTTACATTGTGTACATGATTATTATTGTACATTATTGTGACAACTATGGTTTAAACAAGACCCTCTTTGGTGTGTGTGTGTGTACATTGTTATTGTTCAATCAACTATGCACTGGTTATTTTGCCACTCTCCCTGTGCAAACTGCTTCACCATTTCCCCGTGGACTCCTGGCTGCGACCTGGATTGAGGTCTATGGCCGGAGTCGCAACAACTTCCACCGCTGCCTGCTGGATGCGCTTCACTACTGCTTGCGGAGGCCGCGGTTTGCCCAGTTGCTCTTGTTGCCCTTTTGGTGGCATGGCTGGATGCGACCTTCGGTATTTTCATTTTCTTTCCGGAGTTTGCTAGCTTTCAAGCAGCTGTGTTGCGTGTTAGTGGTTGGAACCAACACAAAACCTTCGACTTGAAGAAGCAGGTCCGTTTGCCTTGGAAAACAAAAAAACAATAGAGGTTTGTTTTTTATTGGCGAATTGTGTCTAGCCTTTTTGGAGGCATCACATAAAGAAGAGGCAGGTTGGCGGTTGGAAGGGTTTTCCCTTGGAATCTTTGCATGTTTATTTTTGTGGTGATCCCCGGTCCCCAGAGGAAGCACTGAAGGAAGACGACTCAAGCAAGACTTCACTGTTCTTGGCATGTGTTTCTTTTTGTTCTGTTCATTTTTGGGGGGCTGCAAAAAATATAGCTGTTTGCTACCACACAAAGAGTAGAGATGTGAAAGCGCGACGGTGCGCCACAACTGGCAGCGAAGCAAGCTGAATGGCCGATCGTTCTATTCTCTCCAGGCCCAGGCAGGTAAATGTCTGGCAAGGCAATTCGCCATATATCAGGTGAGCTGTCAGGTTGGTGGATTGGTGGTTTAGATTTTGGATTTGAACCCCTGGCCTTGGGTAAATTGAAAATTCCTCAACCACCAAACCGCCGGGGCCCAAACCACCAATTATACAGTGGGAAGCTCAATTTCTGGCCCAGTTGCCCAATGCCAAACTCTTCAACGCTCAAACTGCGTGCCTGGTTGCCCGAACTTTACGTTTCGAAAAGAAACGGATTTCAAACCCAATGGTTTGAATCAGTAGGATGCTTGCAAGGGAATGCTGGACATTAGCACACCCCTGTTTTGGGTGGGTGAACTTCCGAAGTGAGTAGGTCTTCCTGTAGACGGCGCCTATGGATGTTAACCGATGTTTGAGGAAGCAGGGGACAGATCTATTTTTTCGGCCAGACCCCTGTTTGGAACTCATTTTAGCGTAGTGCATGTTTTTTGGTGGTTCCCAGCCATCCGGTGTCTTAGGCCTTTTTAGCCTTTTAGGGTTTAGTGGTTGTGTCCACTAAACTACCGAAAGGTCGAAACTTTTCTTGTTGGCTCCCAGCCATCCCCTTAGCTTTTTTAGCCTTTTAGTGTCTTGCGATCGTTTCCATATTTAAGCCACAAGTTGGTCACTTTTGGCGGGGGATCAGAACACGGGCAGCCAATTTTTGGGGCCCGGATCAGTTTGAGCAGCCCACGTGGCAGATAGATTTCCCTCGCTGAGCCAGGAGCGGGCTCAGCCAACCACGGACCAAGCTGGTGAAGTTTTGCCTCAGGAGTTTGCATCCGAACGCCTCGCGGTTCCACACGGGGGCCTTTGGCGTCTTCGATTCACTTATGGGACCTCTACTGAAATCATGTTGCACTTGTTGGTTTGCGAACCACGGGCCAGAATCAAGCATAGCTTGTTTTGGTTCGCAAGCCATTTACAAGTTTCTCACATAGATTAACCATATGGACAACCTGCGTAGTTTGTTTTAAGGACTTGCTAATTGGGGCTGCACAAACCACAAGGCCCGGCAGAGCGTTTTTACATTATATATTTATGTATATATATATATATAATTGACAAAGGAGAACTCGATGGTATCCCCGCGGATGCCCTCGGGAAGGAGCTTGGTGTTGGTCTGAACGGAGGCTTCCGCGCGAGGAGTTTGTTTCGCCAAGCACCTAGAGGAGTCAGGAACAAATTGAATGGACACGTAGAATGAACAACTCGCCTGAGTTTGCAAAAACGTTACACCTGTGTTGGGTTTTGCCACAGTTGTGGCCTAGTTTTTGCGGATGAACAAACAAGTGTCACAGTTTGTGCTGCTACCGAATTTGGATGCCTATACTTGCACACAGGCCGGCATGAGTGCATGCCTGCGTTCAAAACAAGTCCGGGGGGGCTAGGAGGGGGCTATCCCTGGATGAGATAAGCCCTTAAGGCCTAAAGAGATTAAGGGAGTCACCCCCCCCTTCCCCACCCCACCCCACCCCACCCCACCCCACCCCACCCCACCCCACCCCACCCCACCCCACCCCACCCCACCCCACCCCACCCCACCCCACCCCACCCCACCCCACCCCACCCCACCCCACCCCACCCCACCCCACCCCACCCCACCCCACCCCACCCCACCCCACCCCACCCCACCCCACCCCACCCCACCCCACCCCACCCCACCCCACCCCACCCCACCCCACCCCACCCCACCCCACCCCACCCCACCCCACCCCACCCCCCACCCCACCCCACCAAACAACACCCCACCCACCCAATAGCCGCTTGGGGAATCTTTGGCCTCCGTGCCTCATAGGAGCTCCTTGCTGGAGCTGGCGGCAGGGGACGTGAAGGCAAAGTCGCTGGTTTCCTGAAGGGAAGTTCTGGGGGCAAAATGCGGGTGGCTCGTCATTTGTTCTTCTTCTTTCTTTTGTTTTTCTTCCAGGGACCCCCTAACAATGCTTGGTTTCCTTTGTTTGCTGTGCGGTTGTGAGAAATCGGGAGGACCGAGTAGCATCCTGAAGTGCATGGAGGCAGCCCTGATTAAGTATGGCTTTGCGAGGTTGACATTCAAGTTCATGCAAAATGAGGGTTCCGTTGTTTGCTTTTCATAGAAAAGCCGGGAGTCTCTAAAATGTTCTTTCAAATGGACCATCGACTACTGGATCTGTCCAAACCATAGTGAGCGTCCCTGCGGGTAAAGCGAGATCACGTATGCTGACGGTCCTTTGCTTGGAATCGCTTATTCCATGGCTGTGAATCAATCGTAGACCACGTATAGGGGCCATTGAACACCCCACTGAGCCCCTGTCAGGGTTTCGGGAGACTGGTCTGAAGCAAAGCCTCGTGCTGGTCTCAGCCGTTTATTGTGCTTGGGTATCTTCCGTAAGGAGCTCTGAATGGATCTTCAAACCTTCGCGGAACCCCAGCAGGTTCTCAAGCAACCTTCTTGCTGGCCCAATTCTGCCGTCAGAGTTAGGTTGAAGGGGAAAGAGCCACGTGTGGAAACATGCGCAATGGAACCATGGGCTCAGGCTTAACTAGGTCCCCCAGTAGTGCCCTGTTGCCAACTTTTTTGGTTGGGAGGGTTCCCCTACTAAAATAGACTAGAGAAAAAAGGGTGCTATTATTCTACTCTCTCTACTGGAGGACCTAGTTGATTGATGAAACACATGAGAAGTTTTGGAATATGGGCGTGGCTCAAAATTAAGCAACCAGGGGACCGCTGGTTTTAGTCTTTGGTTCCATTGACCAGGGTGCCATTTTCGTGCATCTTTTTGACCCACCACCATATGTTGGGGATCTGTTGATTGCACCCTCAGTCGGGCGTCTCGTTCCTCCGAGCAGGCAGTGCTTGAGATGAGCGGCTCCGACAGGACCTTGGTGCGGATGCCGCTTGGTTGGAACCAGGGCTTTCTTTTGACCCTGTCTTTGGTGCATTTTGCCTGGATGTTAGGACTTTAACTTTTTGTCAACTAATGGGTTTTCCATTTTCCACTAGACCACTAAAAGTTAAACTTTTAGCAGGGGAGCAGAAAGCAACCGAGCTGTACATGAAGATGGCAGGGGAATCCTTCAGTCCTTTTATGTCGCAATTCATTCTTCAAGGAGCTCCGTTTTAAAGAACAAACAGAGTCCCCTGGTCTTTCTTTTCTTTATGCTGATCTTCTTGGGCCAAAGAAGCATTTAATTTGTTTTTCGGTTCTTTGTTCGGGGCTTGTTTCGGGTTTTCTCGAAAAGGAGTTCAACCCAAGGGCACGGTTTGCCTACAACACGAAACACTGCGAAGCGCTTCCGATTTTGTTGCTTTCTTTTGTGGGCTGAACAAGAAGAGGGTTGCCGCTCGCTCAGACGCATGTTTTGTTCAGTTTGCTCCGCTCGCAGAAGACAAAGCACACACTTCGGGAGGTCACATGCAAGCCCGAAACAGGCAAGCAAACATCCCGACACCCGGTTCAGCACCACGCACCTCACGCGTTTCCCTTCAAAAAGTCACAAGCGACCGCGCAAAAACCAAGACCTGAAAGAAACTTGGTTGCCATCCCCTTAGCTTTTTAGCCCTTTAGTGTTTAGTGGTAGTTTCCATTTCACCCACTAAAAGTTAGTCACTTCTAGCGGGGGATCTGAGGGCCGCAAGAACACGAGGACGCCGCCGTGTTTTTCCCCCCGAAGACGGCGGTGAGCGCGCGCTCGCTTTCGGCGGCTTTCGGTAGGCTCTGCAAGCAGTTGGCCTTCACAGCCGCGAAGCTCTCGAACCTCAAGGCGCCGGAAAAGACGTTGCTACGTCCCCTCGATGTGTTTTTTGGGGCACCCGGAGTGGAGATGCTGTGGGACGAAATCCATTGCGCACCACTGTGAAACCACTGTTGAAACCATTAGTTTGTTGGTAGTTACAGGGCAATCATCATCCCAGGGTTTCTTAGGTGGTGCAGGATTTCGTCCATCCACTGTATTACATAATATATATGTAGAGATCTTTTACATTACTAGGTCCCCCAGCAATTGGTGCCCTTTCCGACCGATTCTTTTTTGGTTGGGAGGGTGAACCCCCTACTGAAATAGAGAAAAGAAAAAAGCGGGTACCAACTTGTTCTAAGCTCTCTACTGGAGGACCTAGACAATGTCACAGGGCTACGTGCCAAGGAGAGGTGCCTTAGACTTGATGGACCCCTTAGACATGTTGGGACAGCCAGTGCAAGGCTTTCTTGTTTTTCGGGAACCATGACAACCACACGCCTCTTTCAGATATTTTTGACCATGGTACACATGAGATTCGGTGAACATGTTGAGTACTCTATGGTTAGTTTTGAAGAAACATGGGTGGACGAGCCGGCAACCCCCCCCTGCGATGAAAAGTAGCGCTTACGTCGCTCCAAGGCTCATGACCGACCCCCAGACCCAGGGCCCTCTAATTGATAGCAGACTTTTGCACAAACGCAACCCGTTTGAAGCCCCACGTTTGAAACCGAGAGCACACGCCTGAAAACGGAGTTTTAGGGGTTGAACATCAGCTGTTTGCTTTTGAAATCATACAGCATCACAGGAGCCACTTGCTCAACATCCGGGCAAAGGAAGGTTGGTAAGGATGATCCCAGCCATAAATGGCTGCGGCCGCCTTTGCAGTTCTTTACATGGTTCTGGGCAGACCATTTCAATACCAGATTTGATTGTGGCTCACAGGACTTTTGCCTCTTGGGCACAAGCCTTGAGCCCAAGGGCTGAAGGTCATGTTTGGGGAAAGAATCGTGTGGTTGCACGTGTGGGTGGCATTCCATTTGGGCGGTCGATCTCCGAAAGGAGCTCCTCTTCCCAGCTGGAGTCTTCTGAAAAGGACGAGGGGCATGCCCTTTAGTTTCGGGCATACACCGAATTCTTAAGAGTCAGAAGGAGACTGGCAGCGTGGGAAACAAGTTCTGAGCTGGGTTTTGGCCAAGTTCCCGCAATCAAGTCCTGCTTTCGCGAGCTCCCTGGACAAAAATGGGTATGCATGTCCTTTTTTTACCCCCCCCCCCCCAAAAAAAAAAAAAGAAGAATAAAAATCAAGGCTTTCGATTTTTCCCGTTGGTTAAAAAACGACAACAACAACTTTCGGCTTTCCTTTCGGTCTCCCTTTTAAAGCCACCCAAAAAGCGACGGGCGCCGAGTCCTCCCCCCACCCGCGTTTTCCCGCCGCGCTCGCCGCTCGGCCGCTTCGAGGAGAACGGGCGGCAGCTCTTGGGCCTTGAAGCCTTGGCCCAGGTGAGGCGCACCGTGGACGAGGCGCGGAGCGCGGCGCGGGAGCGGGGCAGAAGCGGCGCGGGAGCGGCGCGGAAGGGGACACGTCTTGGCCCTTGGACGCATGGTGGAGCATTTCTTTGGTTGTTTCTCGACTCTTCTTAGGTTGTTCATTTATGTGGATCAGTAGCCCAGCAGCCACACCTGTTGCCTCACTTGTTGTTGGTGTTTCTGTCTTTCGGTTTTTCAAGTTGCTCGTTTTTGGTAGATGGATCACATCGGGCACCGCAGGTAACTGGTAACCCACCGATGGATTTTAACCCAGCTGGATTCAGGTTGGTTTGGTTGGTCTGGATTCAGGTGGGGTTGAAAGCAAGTCTTTGCTTCACTTGTTGGATCAAGTTGTTTTCCCATGTTGTTCAGGTGTTTGTTGGTTTTTGCATGGGGTGCGAAAGTCTTTGCTTCACTCTTGTTGGATGTTGCGGCTTGGTGGTGTTAGAGAGGGAAACCAAAAGGAGACCAACCATTTGTTGTGGTTCCCCTATTGTACGACACACACACACACAGAGTTAGCGTTATCCCATGTGCTATCCCTTGACATGAGCAAATACTTTTGGAGTATAGGGCTAAAGAACATCTCTGGTGACCAACTTCTCGAAGTGTATGTTGTAGCCATGGTTCTACGGGAACTAACCCTGCTGGGTTCCCCGTGTTTACCTTTTGGATTGGGGGATACGGATACTCTTCATTCCCTCAATGAAAGTACAGAACCCTAGCAACATGCGCTAAAATCCGGGGTTTCCAACTTTTTGTGGCATCCACCATAGTGCAACTTGAGGTTCGAAGGTGTGGGGAGTTTTGCCAGAATTGGTCCGCTTGGGACCTAGCTGGCTTCAGATTCAGCCTCCACCCGGGTAAGGTGCAATAAGTCTCAGGACTTCCACACCCTTCCCTTGCAACATTTGGGTATGGCTCAAAAATAATGAGCTGGGGGTGACGCAGGTTTTAGTCTTTGGTTCCACGTATCAAGGTGCCATTTTGGTACCACTTTTTTGAGCCACAGCCATTTCTGGGATTAGAACCACCTGGAGGGACGCTCACCCATGATGAAGGTCCTTGTCTTGTGCATCCCTTATTTCCGATTCGCAAACTATATCAGCAGATAGTGCGCTCGATATCCCGAACATAACTGAACCCTATACATATATATATATAGACACATCACAGGTTGGTTGGTACCCCATTTTTTCCAGAAGTAAAGTTTATCTTTCGCATGAGTTGCCTTTTGGTTGCATCTGGACCTTGGATCGCAGGTGGAGACAAAGCTGGGGCAGAAGACCAGCTCTGAAGGCAGCTCTCTGAAGCCGCCGTTGCTGGACCTCTGCACCGGCCACGAGATCTCCCACGTGGCGCTCGGCAAGGCCAAGGCGATGAGCGGAAAGCGACGAAAGCGACTGAACTTCGGACGGGTTGGGACCCATTTAATGAGGGAATTCGGGGGATTGGCTTTACCAGTTCCCCCAGTAGTGCCCTTTATCACCCCTTTTTTGGGGGAGGTTCCCTACTAAAATAGACTAGAGAAAAAAGGGTACCCTTATTCTAACCTCTCTACTGGAGGACCTAGCATTTGTGTGGTTAAGAAAGATCACCTTTTGAAAGAAGCTCATTTGGAAATGAGTGCCTTCTAGGCCAGATCAGGTCTAGGTAGGGGTCTGTCTCAAGATAGGGCGCCTGCTTGGATGGTTTTAAAGGACATGAGGGTATTTGGGCCGGGATGGTCATCAACCCGGGATTCTTGAGGTCCATCTTCCCCGAACATCTGGATGTCCTGTTTGAAAATCCGATTCAGTTGGTCGTCGAAGGCACGGCGCAAGAAATTGTTCTAGTTGTTGTAGTCCACGAATTGGAGACATGCGGAACGCAAGACAAGGGGTGCAGCCACGGTTTTACCTACAATGCGAGATGAGAGTTGCCAAGTTGCACTTGCACATAATATTTCTGCCAGGGAAACACACCCCTCCTGCCCCGAATCTGTCTCCGTCTCCATGGCTTCCCCCAAATGCGAGCCTCCGAAAGACGACCATCGGGTTGGGTTGCGTCCTGTTGGTTTTCTGAAGACGCAAATCAACGTCGACCCTTTCTTTGGTGCATTTTGCTCGGATTAAACTTTTCGCCAACCAATGGGTGTTCCATTAAACCACTAAAAGTTGAACTTTTAGGAGCAGAAAGCAACCGAGTACCCTTATGCGTTTTCGAAGATCCTGGCTATGGATTCTTCTTACGGGGCAGTATGTCCCTTTTTATGTCATCGACATGGAGCACTTGGCGAGACCCTGAGATTCTTTGGCGACTGAGTGAGGACCCCATGTCCCAAACCCAAACTGAAGGCCCAGAGGCTCCTGGGGCTTTTAATGGAAGACCCGACCCCTCCATTGCACATTCCGGAGGTGTTTGGGGGTCTCAAAACCTGGCTGTTTGAGGGCCCTAAATACATCGGGAGAGTCTGGGGGCTGACAAAACAGGAACCCAGGCAAAACAAGGATTGATGGTTTTTAGATGACGATTCTCGGGTTCCTTTTTGAGGCTCTCACACTCAGGTGGGGATACAAATCTCGAGTTTCCAAACTTCATAGCTTCACGCCTCGGTGCTAGCCGGACCAAGATGTCAGGGTTAATTTTTGTGGTGCAGTGAGGGTGTAATCTCAATTTACTGACAGGCTATGCCTCCTGTTCGGCAATATACCAAGCATGTGCCAGAACCTTCTAGCTACCACTTTGGTAGGTATGCTGGAAAGAAACACAAATTAACAGAGGACATCCCTGGTTCCCTTCTTTCATAGGATCCGCGAAAAAAATCATGATGAGCCACAAGGGTACACTCAAGGAGAACAACATCAGTGTGCCGGAATACGTACACCTATAAGTTTGTGCCCTAGTTTACGGGGAGCATCGTTAGGGGCGCGTAGTTTCCCCTCAATTCGCCTTCACTCGCTATAGCAGTGCTTGTGATCCGCTGGAAATCATAGGTATGGTTCGCCACAAGGAGTGCAACCCGAGCTAGTGGTAAGTTCATACGGGCGTGGGTCAAAATTAACCACCAGGAAACCGCAGGTTTTAGTCCGTTTTTCCACCGAGCCCATTTTGGAGTCACCCTATTTCTGGCCACAATCAAAACCGTAGATGAAGGTCAAGGGGCAGTCCCAGCCGGAAATAGTGGCGGAAATCCGGCTTCCTAATTCTTGACACATTATTCTGGGATTACGCCCATTTTTGTACCGATCGGTTTTGATTGCGAGTGACTCATACAAGCCATAAGAGCCGGAGCAAGGACTATCGAGATGAGCTTCCCAGGTCTCTCCTTCATGTTGATCCCATAGAAATTTCAGGGCTCCTTAAAAGAAATTCCTTCTGCCCATTTCAACCATGGCGCTTTTTCAACACCAAAATAGAGGGAAACCACAATTTACAAGTTGCAATGTTCAGGCGTATAATGTAAGGATCCCAGATGAATCAACCCCAGTTTATAATGGTTTAATGGAGATGTATCACTTTTGGAGTGGAACACACCCCCTACTAGCGTTGATGAAATATGGGTCAACATCATGGCTTTGATCTGAGGGTTTTTGTATTACCCTGGGATCACACCCTTGGGAAATGACCCAGAATGGCTCAAAGTAACCCGATTTTATCCGGAAATGTGACTAAATGGGGTCAATTCCCATGTTGACCCCGGATGAATAAACCCCTGGTTGATTCATATGAGGGTGGAAACCCTCCAAAAGTGGTCAACATTGCAAAAACCCTGGTGAAATACAAAAAAACCTGAGATTTGAAGTACGGTCCTTCTCGATCGCTAGGCCCCGCTGTCCTGCGACGGCGGCTCCGGAATCTTCCCACTCTTCGAGCGTCTGCTGCGGGAGGAGCTGGAGGGCAAAGAAGGCGCGGACCGCACAGGACCAGGGCTTACTGCCCTCCAGGGGCGCCAAGGTACATGGCCCTTTTACATACCCCTTAGAAAAATGAGGGCAAACAAGAATGTGACCATACCCCTTGGAAAAATGAACCCAGAAGGCCTGATGTAGGGCAAACAAGAATGTGACGATGTGAAGAAGGAATGCCCTACTGTCAACAAAAAGCAAGCAGTGTTTTTTAATGGCAAAAAAGATGGTTTTAATGTCAAAACGAATTGTACCCCCTTGTACATACGCCTTTTACATACCCCTTGGAAAAAATGAACCCAGAAGGCCTGATGTTCATACCCCTCTCCCCAAAAGGGGTATATACCCCTTAACAAATGGGTTGGAAACCAGGGAAGCCAAGGGGTATGAACAAGGGGTATGTACTTCCACCCCTAGATGCCCTTCACGGGGAAGCGCCCTTCAGAGTTTAAAACCTCCCTTGCCCGCAAACAAAACACCTGTCAGCGAGGGGTTGGGGCCGCACCCGCGCTGTGGAACCCACGGCTCCCTTTTTGAGAAAGTGAGAAGTAAGACCCCCCAAGTCAGGTTTTGAGAAAGTGAGAAGTAAGACCCCCCAAGTCAGGTTCCCAGCTCTAAGCTTGACTGCTACTAGTATTGGGTTGGATCTTTAGACTTTAACTTGTCAATAGGTTTTGCACTAAACCTCCAAAAAGTTAAAACAAACTTTTCGCAGGGGGCCAACAGCAAGCAAGTAAGATCCAGTGACATCCGCGGCCTTTCGCTGCCTTTGAGTAAGGCAGCATGCTGGACACCTCGCAGCTGCCCCCAGTGAACTTCGACCTCTTGTCCGGGCGAGTCACCAGCCGAGACCCCAGGACATGGTTGTTGTTGGGAAACATGTTTATATGTTTGCTTATTGTGGTTTAGTGGTTGAAATCCAGCGTTTGAACCGCTAAGATTCAAATGTTTGCTCCCCTTCCAACGTCAACCAAGAGGTCTCTGCCTGAGTTTCTAGAACCCTTTTTAGGCCCTTCGCTTCATTTGTTTGTTTGATTTCCCGCCAAAAAGCCACATTGTATGTGGACTTTGGGAAGTGGCAATGTCTGAGGTTTTCTTTGGGACATGAGGTTCGAAAGGCCCAAGCCGAGGGGGGGGTTAATGACTCGGTTTTTTCTGAGGCCCCAATCAGACTTCAACTTGGATTTCTCCCCGTTTTTCAGGGCAGGCAAACACTTTCTCCCGAGGCATGGGGGAGGCTGTGACGGCTCTGAAGACGACTGACTTCCTGTTGGCGCAGCTGGACAATCTCAGAGCCTCGGCTACTCCCAGTCAGCAAGTCGACCGGCGCTGGTCGCCATGTCAACCAGTCGGATGGTCCGTTGCGTTGGGCCGTTGAAACGGTGCTACCGTTACGTCGCTCGCAACCGAACAAGCCCTGGGTGCTTTCTTGGATGTTTTTTGTTTTTTCCCCCCCCCCCACCCGCCAGGTTTGTTGGGCATTGAATAAGTGCGACATCAAATCCAAAAAAGGACCAACAGAGAGAAGAAGAGGCGGCATCTACAATAGGCTCATTCAAGCTTTCTAGATCAGGTCCTTTAATAAGGCACTCTTTTCTGGAAGTGCAAGTGGAAGCACATCTTTAATCATGGACGCTACAAACCACCATTCCAAGGACTCTCCGCAGAATTCAGGGGTCTAGCCTTGTGTCGAGGACTAGAGTCTCTGATTTAACCAGTCAGCTCAGGCTCCAGCTTGCGCTTCGCCCACTTCTTGAAGATTGCGCTGGTGCAGCACGTCTTCACTCGCTCTTCAGCCGCAAGCAAATCCAGCGGGGATCCCCCCTGCCTGACCCAAGGAAACACATGTGCACATTTCGACAGATCTTGTCCCTTTGCTGGGCTGTCTCATCACGGATGATACCTATCCGGGGGTGACACCTGTCAAGACTCAAATGAAGGATGGGATCTGATACACAACATGATGGGGTCATGACCCCACTTTTGGTTTTGACGACCCAATACCCTATTATACCCTATTAGTCGCTATTGGCCTTTGTTGAACAGAATTGGGAGGGCCCTTCACAACCAGGGAATAATGCAAGTGTGAGGTTCCCTCGGGCGATTCGCCAATGGTTGACATGTTTGTCAGGTACTGGGAAAGATCGCCTCACAACCTACATTTTAAGGGCCAAGTTGCCTGTGTGCTGTCCGTCAGTGCGTGATATTTTGGGGTGTGAAGTGAATTTGGAGGTGAGTAAGCCCTGCATGGTCTCAAGTGAGGCAATGCTCCGAGCCTTTGAAGAATGAGTCTTAACACAAAGATCACACGAGTTCGGTTTGTTTCCTCGAGGTTCCGTTTACTGGGCCCCAATTTCAACCCTCGGTAACCTCGTTGGGATACCTTGAATCATGGAAGTGGACAGGGGGCTTCAAGTGGAAGGCAGTTTTCCAACAGCCGGGCATTGTTGGAGGGAGGGCAACCCTCCAAAGAGGGATCACATATTTTCCGCCTCAGGCCCGCAGCCCCCCCTGGCCCTACCCAGAGGAGTTGTCCTCAGGATAAAAGTTAACCCCTAAGATGCCCCTACCCACAGTAGTTTACCTCTACCCCCCCCCCTCTACCCGGCGTAGTTAGCCCCCAAGGATAGATGGGCATGGTTCGAAACCAATGGTATTTTTTTCTGATAGGTGCACCACCCATTTTAGAACCTATTTTAGTGGGGATTGGGATGTTCACTAGGGGTACGATTTGGGTTTTGACCCACAGCCACATCCCAATCCAAACCACCAAAAACCGGTACCCAAAATGGGTTGCCCTGGAAAGTGGAAACATGGAACCCTGGTAACCAAAACCTGCGGTTTGCCCCTCCTGTTTAGTTCTGAGCCGCACCCATTTTGAAACGGCCTCTCATTCAGAGGCAAACTGTGTGGCAACCCATTGACCTTTGGTTCTACCCCTACCCAGAGTAGTTTGCCTCAAAGGATCGAAGTTTTTGCACCTCAGGTTTGCTTCCGGTGCCTTTGGGTCCCATCTCCCGCGCGCGCGCCGCCAACGCGGACGCGGTCTGGGGCGGTATTACGCCCCCGGAGCAGCAGGTGGAGGTGGCGCTGGTGGTGAAGCGACCCTCGGCCTCGACGAAAAACAATCGCGCGCCGCAGCCGGAGCTAGGCTATAATACGCCTTCACTCGCTATAGCAGTGCTTGTGATCCGCTGGGAATCATAGGTATGGTTCGCCAGCAGGAGTGCAACCCAAACCGGTGGTAAATTCATATGGCTGCGATTGTCAAAACCAATGGGAGCCCATTTGGGGTAAGTGAATTCACCACCCATTTTAGAACGTATTTCAGTGCGGATTAGGATGTTCACTGGGGGTACGGGATTTTGACCCATGGCCATCTTGCACTCCTCTTGGATCATGCGTTTGTTGCTGCTTTTGTTCACCAGGATTGTTTTGTCCAGAGGAGCATGTCTTCTGTAAACCCTTTTCAGGCTTGCTTTTGAAGAGAAACCAAAGAGACGCCAAGCTTTTGGGGGTCCCCCATTGTCAGATTCTTCAGACATACAGGTAGTTGACCCTGTTAGGAAAGGACCACCTTAGTGGTTGGTGGGGCAAGGTCCGCTGATGGTAGTGCCGGTCCTCTTCACAGCCTTTGGTATGTTGGCAAAAAAACTTGTTTTTGCAGGCCCCTACTACTTTCAAACCTGAAATGTGGGCTGGGCTTCCTCTTTAAGTGGTTTTGGGAAGACCACTTTAAACAAAAAATGTTCATCATGACTTATATGCCGCATGTATTTGTTGTTGGTATCATGTTTTCACAGAGGAGCCACTGCTTTCAACCATCAGGCACACCAGAAACCGCGCTGAACAGTGGAGGCCTCGACCTGCAAAAAACCTGAGGTGAAATCAGGATTGGCGGTCTTTAAGAGGACGGCGTAGGGGCAAAGCCAGTTCTGCCCGAGTCCCTGATGCCCCGGCTGGTGAAGAGGAATTCAACATGTTCTTTCTGTTGGGTTTCAAGTGTGGAGATTTGTGTTTCCACATTCCCTGTCTCCGTTTTTCTTTCGGGGGTGCCCTCCCTTTATTGTGGTTTTTGGAAGATAAACCCCGAAAAAACACATTTTGAAAATCGCCACACCCATTTGTATTGAAAGGGAGCTGGCCGTTCCGATTCTTCGTTGTGTTCACCCTGCAACGCGTGAACACATCAAAGGCCAGAGATATCTTGGTGGCTCCCAGCCATCCGGTTCCTGACTTTTATTTAGCTTCTTAGGGTTTAGTGGGGATTTCCGTCTAACCTACGTACAAGTCAAACCTTTAGCCGGGGATCTGAGGACAGCCCAGATATATCCGGGGCTCCCCATGTCAAATCTGGTCAAAACACCCTTTCAGTTGGAAGGCTATTGTAGAAGAGGTGGTCATCAAACCCGCTGAGCAACATGAACACCCATTGAAAGGGTGCGTTGTACGAGAACCATGACATGACCATGAGAAAACTTGGACCATGATGAACCATTGGCATTCTTTAATCAAAACCCATGTTATAATGGCATCGGCGAACGGTGTTCGCGACGTGTTGTCAATTCATGTTGAAGTGATGGACCATTAAATTGCCAGTTTCCAAATGTGTCTTACTGACTCTCCCGGTATTTTATGCGTTGGGAAGATACATCTATCCAGCGAAGGAGGGTGTTGCTAAATCGCACGCCATATATCGGCCGGATGTGGCAGTGGACACTTTTGCAGGGACCAAACAATTTCGGCCACGTCCGCACGTGAACTTGCCCTAATAAGGTCTGGATTCTGACTCGAAATGCTGGATACACTCCAGGGCACCAACCAACCTGTTGTAATCCAGGGGACTTGCAACCAAACATCGCGGGTGACACTGTGGATGGACGAAATCCATTTCGCACCACCTAAGAAACCCTGGGAGAATGATAGCTTTGTAAATACCATAGCAATCGTCATGGTTTACCGTGGTTTCAGTTCGCGGTGCACCAGCAGTGAGCCCCACTGCCCAGCGGCCTACGTTTCATGGTGCGAAATGGATTTCGCCACCATCAGTAAGCTCCTGCGGGCTACGGGTTTGAGATTTCGCAACCATCCACTATCCGCAGTGTCACCTGCTCAGCGCGGCCGGATGGGGTTTGATCCGAGGTATTGCTCAGCACTTCGCGATGAGCTGCGGGGCGACCACGGCCCACCGGGGCTTTGATGGCACCCGAGTGATTGTGCTGGCCGTGATGGCGCGGGGGCGAGGGGTGATGGGGTGACAGGGAGGGGGGGCCTTGGGTGACTAGGTCCCCAGCTAGGGGCCCTTTTACATTTTTTTGGTTGGGAGGGTTCCCCTACTAAGTAGTTACTAGAACAGACAACATGAAAAAGTGTGTACCAACTTTTTCTAACCTCTCTACTGGAGGACCTTGGGTGATCACTTTTCGGAGCTGGCGCTGGCCGCGTTTGGAGGGGAAACCAAAGAGAAAGCCCACAGTTTTCGGGGTTCCCCCAAGCGTTAACTAGTCCCTCAGCAATTGGTGCCCTTTCTCACCCCTTTCTTGGGAGGGTTTTCCGTACAAAAAACGTGGGTACGATTCTAACCTCTCTGGAGGACCTGGGATCCAATCAATCAGAAGTTGTCTGAGAAACTCGCCCCAGTTACGCATCATGAGATCAGCGCCTTTGCACTCTCGAACCCGGAGTTAGGCTTTGATACCAAGCTTTGCGGCATTGGGTGCAACTGTTGTTGAAATGTCAATCGGGAGGCACAGACACTCTATGTATATATACTTTTTACTATACATATATATATATATATACACACACACGTATAAGTCAAGCAAAGTTTAGGTTCCTGCTTCAGTGCTATTTGGACCTACCACATAGTTCTATTTGGGCTTGCTCGATCTCATCTTCATACCACGAGCCAACTTGCACCAAAAGGGATTCGCCCACGAACGTTGCTTCAGGAAGCCGTTGATGTTTGCTCTTTTTTTTTGCCAGTTTCTTATTTCTTCTTGCAATTGAATCTGCTTGAGGCGAGTTTGCGAATCAGCCCATCATGCTGATTTGCTTTTTTTGAGTGCCTGAAGTCTCCATGACCCCATAAAGATGGGCTGGTCTGTTTAATTCGGGCACATGACCTGATGTTTGAAAGATATAGATATGGGAGACTGTTTGGAGGTGAAATGCATTCGTTTTTTCGGGCCAAGCCTTGTGGGCCGCTAAGTAGTATTGGCTGGCAGTCACTTAGTCGGTGCCCTGAGTCTTGATGCGAAAATATACCATCAGTTCAGAAGTGACCAACTTGCCGGACTGCTTATCTTTTCACTTTGCATTGTGCTTTTCCTGTCTTGCACTTTGACCTTTTGCACATCTAAGTTTGGCCGGGTTTAGCCTGGAGCAAGATCATGAGCCCATTCATACTGTCTTCAATGCTTGTTTGGGTTCTAAATAGCCCGCAAAGATAGCAAGAACTCGGTTTCCCTAACTGAAACCACAAAGAGATGACAGTTGTTGTTTTCAATCAGGCCCACTTCTCAAGACGCTTTTTCAGTTGCGCAATGCCGACCATGTAAACTGCTGTGGTTGTTGGTCGACGTCTAATTTCAACAGGCGGTCACCCTTATTTCCAGGCCCCTTGTTTGCAAGTAGCCCATACACGTGGGGTATCTTACCTGAATGACTCCTCGGCCCACATCGCAAGTAAATTATAGCCTATAGGGAAGCCAACCCTGCCAGTCAGAGTCATCTTGATATGCAAGTGGGATCCCTACTGGGTCCCCCAGTAGTACCCTTCTCTCCCCTTTTTTGGTTGGGAGGGTTCCACTACTAAAATAGACAACAGAAAAAAAAGGGTACCCTTTTTGTAACCTTTCTAACCGTTGAGAGGTGACACTCATGGACCGCCTTCTGCGGCAAACGACCACCGCCACCACCAGCCGCGCCGTCAGCGGGCGAATGGACGACGCCGCTGGGTAGGCAAACGCAAGATGTCAGGAGTGGCAATCGCCAGGGGTAGTATCATCCCCCGGCCCCTTCAGGGGAACCCCCGCAAACACTCCACCCCCCCACACACACACACACACCCACACACACCCACCCACACACACACACACACCCACACACCCACCCACCCACCCACCCACCCACACACACACACACACACCCACACACACCCACACACACCCACACACACCCACACACACCCACACACACCCACACACACCCACACACACCCACACACACCCACACACACACACCCACACACACCCACACACCCACCCCCACCCGCCCACCCACCCACCCACCCACCCACCCAGCCAGCCAGCCAGCCAGCCAGCCAGCCAGCCACCCACGCACGCACGCACGCACGCACGCACGCAAAAAAGGTGTTCGGCTGGGATGGCGGGTCATGATTTTGACGGTTTGTCGGGATTATCAACGTCAGAAAATGGGGATGGACGTGTTTCCCCTGAACTTGCCACTTGGGTAACTTTGATCATGGAAAAATCATGGGGCCGGTTCGGGGGTGGGGGACAAGAGGGGGGGGTAGTAGCAGTTTGTTTTTTACCCCCCAAGACCCGACCTCCAGTCGTTCCCTTCAGCTTTGTTTGGCCGTTTTTAAATCAAGTCAATGATGGATGGTGCCCCTCTTTTCCCATGGCCCTTGGAGGTCGGGGTTGGGCTTATGCACTTGTGAAATGCCTCTGCCCCAGAAAAACGGTTTGGAGGTGGCGAATCTGTGTGGATCCAGCCCTGTAGAATATCAAAAAGGTACTAAAAGACTACCTATCAAAAGACCAACAGGGGGAAGTAGAGGTGAAATCCGCAACACATGCATCCAAACGTTCTCTAGTTGCGAAGCCATCATTCATTTACAATTCAAAGGCAGGAAACTCCGGTTACAGTGACATTCTAGTGGTTGCTGGATCCCCTGAGTTCGACAGAAACAAGACATTGGGATGACTTGCCAGCCTCACAACTTGGCATGGCTGGGAACTGTCGAAGGATTATCTCATCTCACCATTCCTTCTGCACCAGATGCAATTGTCCCATCATCCCCAGAGAGATTTGAGCACGGTGATGTAACAATATGAATGATGTGCGTGCAGGTGGCCCGTTTTGATAAGTGCCAGAGGATGTTGCATGAACTAGGTCCCCCAGTAGTGCCCTTTTACCCTTAGTTTGGTTGGGAGTAGTTCCCCTACTAAAATAGACTACAGAAAAGCATGGGTGCCAGCTTATTCGAAACTCTCTACTGGCGGACCTCCCCTCTAAATCTCTGGTACTTAGGCAGAGAGGTGGCTCCTTTCAATCCCAATGGGACCTTCCATTGGCTCGGGAAGATTCTGGACCTAGTGACTCCCAGCTTCATGCTGAGTGCTCGGCGCCCTCGGTGCCGAGGAGCGTGAGGAGACCCGGTTCATGGTGTCCTGGGAGGTCTTCGCGAAGCAATCCGAGACCTTTCTGCTCTTCTCCCCGGATCTGAACGTGGCGCGGGCCCGCACCCTCGCCTACTTCCAGGAGGTCGAGCAGGAGCGACAGGTCAATTTGTTCATTGGCAGCTGGTGGAGTAGGATGGCTTCAGCCAAGTCTTTCACAGACAGGTACCACATGCCACCGCAAGAAAGAAAGTATGATGCTTTGTTGGGCATCACTTGTTGCCAGGTTTGCACTCAGATTCATTTTAGTGGGATTTGCGCAAACGGGCGCAAGAACCATTGACCAGAAGCTAATTAAGGCTTAGGTTGGCCCGCGCCTCGCCCTCTGAATTTTGAAGTTTGCCCTTTCCATACTCAGTTGTTCAGTGGCAGCCTTTTTCCCCTTTTTTTGGTGGCTGCCCCACTAAAAATGGTCTTCCCCAAAAAGGGCTCCCTTTTTTCCATGGTCACTGAACAACTGAGCATACCTCATCCTTGCTCGGGAGGTTTGCGCTCTATTTTGATGCAACAAAATGGGAGTACTGTGTATGGAAGCGAGCCAAGTGCGAGAACTAGATGCCCGCCAAACACAACAGACACATGGCCAGCTGTGGCTGAAATTGGATGGAGTTCGTCGGTGATTTTAAACAACTTGGACGCCTTCAAGTCTTTCGTGCCGCACAGCTTGTCGGCCAACATGCAGCAAATCCCTTCTGAGGCAACATTTGCCCCCGTGAATCCAATTTTGCAGTTTCGTATGGGATTGGCTTCTCTATCTTCAAGTCCAAGCGCTTCATCGGCGGGATCCCTTTTCCCGAGGCTGACTTGGCCACGCCTGGGAGAAGTTCTGGGGGCTTCCTTTGGTTTTAAGAGCGGCTTTGTCTTCCGAGGGTACCCCTTTTTTGGTGGCTTCCGACAAATCTGAAAGGACACCCGCAATATTGGGGGGGTTCCCTCAAAAGCACAGACACCCAAAAGGGATCCCCAACTCTTGGACGTGACTTCCCTACCAAAAACACGCGCTTGGAACATAGGAGGGTTCCTTGGTGCGACCAGGAGGCTCGCGAGCAGGGCGCGAAGATGAAGCACATCTTCCAGTGGGAGCGAGATGGTCCCCGGGCAGCACAGGTTTGGTCTCCCAAATTAGACCCCCCCAGTAGTGCCCCTTATCACTCCTTTGTTCAAAAAGAGTTCCCCTACTAAAATAGACTACTGCAAAAAAGAGTACCCTTGTTCTAGCCGCTCCACTGAAGGACCTAGAAATTGAATCCCCCAAATGGGTCCTTTCCTGTTGGCTGGCATTGAACACTTTCGCACCAAGCAAGACTTGGTTAATGACCACCTGCACGGCAAACCAGGCCTATTGGCCTTGGTGGCACAAAAGTCTCATGAGAATCGTGACGGCTTTGGCCCAGAAGGCTGCGTATGGTTTCTTTGCCAAGCCTTTCTTGGCTGCATTTGTGCATTCTTTAGCTTTTCGAATTCATGGCTTTGCTTGCCCCCCCCCCCCAACCCAACCAGCAAGATTTTCCCCAATAGCTATATAGCGCCTCCAAAACGGTTGGTGCACAGCCTTTCAGCCAATGCTTTGTCGACCAAAGGGTTCACACTTGACAAACAAGCATATTGCGGGTTCCCTGCTTGGAAATACATAGGTCTTCCTCTAACAGTGCCACATTTATGTGTATATATATATATGTATATTGTGTATTGCATTGTATTGCACTATATATACATATGAATATATATATATATATATGCAATTTGCAGATATACATATGTACTACATACATGATGTATATATATATACACATGCAACAGGAAAGGGTGGGTTTTGCTGGACTCCGCTTGGGGTTCCTCAGTTCCTCCGCTAGGCTGGGTCATGGAATTCCCGGACCAGGGCGCCGAGGCCTTGTGCGGGAAGATGGCCAAAAGTCTCTACAAGAGGCGCGTTGGTCGTCTCGCTTCCGAGATTTTGTTCAGGAGGGGGGCGGGGTGAGTGGGTGAGGGGGTGAGGGGGTGAGGGGGTGAGGGGGTGAGGGGGTGAGGGGGTGAGGGGGTGAGGGGGTGAGGGGGGGGGGGCTGAGGCGGGGGGGTGCTAGAGGCTGTGGGGGGGAAGGCGGGGGGTCGCTTCCGACATTTCGTCGAGGAGGGGGGGGCTATGCGGCGAGGGGGGGGGGGGGTAAGTTGGTGTTGGTCTTTTTGGCCTTTTCTCGCGGGGAGAGAAATGGAATGACCCTACACCATCCAACTGCTGGTTTATTTTTTGTTGGACCAGGTTCATTCCATTTCTCATTCCCTATCGCACCAGCAAGTAGTTCGCCTCGCTTCGAAGTTTCGTCGGTCAGGTAGGGGATGGGGACTCGGGACCGTGGCGTTTCTTTTTTCAGTCACCTGGACTTTTCTCACCTGAACCTCGGGTTTCTCAGTTCAAAGCGGATCGGCTTTTCCTTGTTTGGCCTTTCCTTGTTTGGCAACTCCCTTGCGCCATGCACCCGGATTTGCTTTGTTAGTTTGGGGATGACGTGGGCGTGCCATGGTGAACAATCCCTTTGCTTGGGATTGGCCGGCGTGGTTCGACCTCTTAATAGAATGGCGATTTTAGACAACCGATGTATGGGTTCCTACTCGGGATCCGTCACCGTCACTGACCATATTTCCTCGTCTATCCTGGTCTACTCTTTGGTGAGAACGCGGGAAACCCAGATTTCTCCTTCAACTGAGAACCCCGATCCTCCTGCGTAGCTACGCATATGGACTGCTGCTTCGAGGTTTGTTAGCCTGCCTTAAGAACAAGGCTGGCCCATCGCACCTCATGGCCACCTTTAAAGATTGCAAACTTCGTGTCCTGTTTGGGAAAATCGAGCTGCACCCCCCCCACCTACCTTGCATTTTCCTTTTCACGAGAAGCTGCATCCCGCAATTTCCCCGCAATGCTTGGGCGGCAATGTGACTGAGCAGCATACAGCACTTCAACGGTGTTTGTCCTTTTGGGGCTACCCCTCACAGCCTTTTCCTGAGAGGCGCACCACTCTGATTGACAGCTATGTGGAGAGCTACTTCCCAGAGTTTACGGCCTACCGCGACGCTGCTTGGATGAGACTGCCCCAAACAAGCCCCGGACCCCACACTCAACCCGCGAAACTTAGCCCTTCGAACTTGTGTTACTGTCCCCAATTCTTTCTGCTGGAGTTGGGTGCAGGGGGGTGGCCCCTGAAGTTCCATTTCGCGACATGTGACCTGTGGGGCACGGAACCGCATCGGGAGTTCGCGGCAAACGGAACCGCATCCGATGCCGCCGTCCAGGTTTGCATGTGGTGGAAGTTCTACCTCTGCACAGACCCCATGGTCTTCCGCTTCCAGGACTGGGGACTCCATCGACATGTGGCCGCTTCGCTACGTTGGGTCGCTGCAGCGAGTGTCGTGCGAGGTTTGCTGGGGGTCTTGGGGTTCTCGGCCCGGCCCACGGCCCTCCCTGTGCGGTTGGTTGGACGGGGTGGCGGGACGTACTCTGCTTTGAGGGTAAGCCAGGCATGTAGAAGCATATTGGAAAATTGGCGCATGACATGGCAAATTAGTATTTTTGGTGCAACCTGAGCCCTACTGAATTTTCCCTTCAAGCAGCTGATTTGGCGTTCGGACGCCCCCCTGGAGGTGTAATCTTAGTGATTCTTCCCCAATTGCCCGCGGTCAATGGCCAATCAAGGTGATGGCAAACAAAAACATATGCTTCTCACGAAGCCATGAGTGGTACAGATCATTCTGGAAAACTTCAGATTTCGCCCATTGCTGCGCAAATATATATTATCTACATATATATATATATATATATACATGTATAATATGCGATATGTATATATACATACACATATATGTATATATATATATATATGTGTACACACGCGCACACTTGTACATGTGATTTTATTGTAGAGTACATGCTTGGTGGATTAATGGTCCATGCCACTGGCCAACATGTGACCCATGCCGCCCGTTCTCAGTAACAATTTGGAGTGATTGGTATCCACCAGAGGCATAGGTTCCCTTTTTAGGTGTTGATTAAAAAATAGACGGGTTCCACTGGTTTAGATGGGGTTTCATTCCATTTACCAGGGACACCCATCTATGTTTCCAAAGGGCCACCTATGACCAGAGGGCTACTCTCAGGCGAGAACTCCATGGAAGCTTCAGGGGAGTCCTGAGAGCTCTTTGGTTCGCCCGAGGTTGACAAAAGCGGGTCTGGATCGGAGAAACAAGTGACATCAATTACTCACAGATGTCGATTTGTTTAAAGGCACCTGGAGTGTATATAGAGATTACATATATATATATATATATAGATGAATATATACAAGTAGTACCGCGCAAGGCGGTGGCGGAAGTTTCTAAAAAAGAACCACTATAGGAGGCTTGAACAACCAGGGCAAACATGTTTGGGGCCAAATTGAAAACCAATCATGTTTTGTTTGTGACGAACATGGCCAAACGGTCACAAAAGAAATCAACAGGTCATGTCTTCACAGGCAACTATTCCACCGCTCGGACAAAAACTGGAAAGAAAACCTGGCTGACAGGGAGCCTGCCTGACCGCAAATGTTTGACAAGTCTTAAGCCTCCATCATTTACCCTTTGTTACCATCCGCCCGCCCGTTGTCCCACCGGCTCTTTTTCCTTTTTATGCGGGCAGATTCACTTTGTCTCTGTTCAAGTCAGCACGGTCAGAAAAGACGCATGCTGCCAGGCAAGGCACACTGCAAGGCACACGGCCTGGCAAGCGCCGGGCGGTCAGAAAAGACGCACCCTGGCGCATCTCAAGCGCATTCAGCGCTGTCTTGTCAAGCGTTCAAGGTCATCGTGCACCTCTTGCGCCGCGGTGCGAAGCTGGAGACACTCGTCAATGTCATTTTGCTCGAAGTGTTTTTTGGCGTGCAGCGGAGTAAAGGCAACCAAGCCGGGTATGTCTTGGCCTTCGTTGCTGTGAAACTCAGGGAGCCAGCGGGGAAGGCCTATGAGCATCACGCGGTCATCGCCGTCTGCTGCTCTTTCGTCCGCACGGGCCACAAAGCCTAACTCCTGCAAAAGCGTGCGAAGATACTGGCTGGCCCGCTGGTCTCGCGCGCGCGGGTCAGCCCCTTTGCTTCCGATCTCCGTGTACCTCAAGTATCGCTGCGCGTTCAGAGTGGCCATGATGCCGTGTTTTTTGTTGAAGCCATGCCAGTGTGGGCACACGGTGCCAAAGCCCATAAGCTGCTTGTGCCTGCGACATCTTCCAAGAGGGCATGTGTCGTGCACCAAGCAGCAAGCCGAGATCGGAAGCAGCCACATGGCGCCGCACCTGCTTCAAGTCTGCCCGGTAGCCCTCGGGGATCAAAGGATCCCTGCACATAAGCGCGTACTCTTCCGAGAAGGCAGTCTCATCAATTTCGTGCGCCACGTCCTGCTGCGCCGCCCACCAAGCCTCCCAGTCGGCAGTGTCTGGCAGCAATAAGCGGAGAGCGTTGCCTTGCCAGCAGCTCGGACGCGCCGTCCGGTGGAGCCACGTGACGTAGCAGTACTTGTGCACCACGGCCAAGATATCAAAATTTTTCGCCTCCTGCAGCGGCAAAGCCACCAGTCTTAAGAAGGTGCTGGACAGCAAAAATGAATAATTCAAGGTGAGCACCGACCACATGTAAAGGAAGACCAGACACTGGAAGAGCGCCATGGCCGGCATACCACCAAGAGGCAACTCCGGAAAAACCTCCGCGGCAACAAGCATACGCTGCAGCGCTGCAAGCTCTTGCTGCAACTCCCGACTAGATGCCAGCAACTCGCTAGCGTAGGCAATCAAGCCTTGAGCGTCCTCCGCGCTCTGTATGACCCGGAACGAAAGCAAGGTCGCGTCCGAAGTAACGTCAAGCAAGCAGTCCACCCCGCGCCGAGACAGCGTCTGCGCACCTGGCTGAAAGAGCACGCCTAGTGGGGCATCGCAAGGCAGCACCAAGCACAGCGCGGTGTCCTCCACGTCGGCCGCGGCAGATTGGGCCACCTCTGGCGCGAAGGACACCCTTTTCTTTTTCTTGGCGCTGGGCGCAGCCGCGGCGTGGGCAGAGTCGTCCTGCACGTCAGCCCACGCAGGTCTGCGAGTCGTGGCTGCTTTCGGGGAGGCGGTCAGAAAAGACGCACCTTCCCCGGCAGCGGCGGGCAGAAAAGCCGCACCACTGCCAGAGGCTGCTCTTGGGGAAGCGTTCAAAAAAGCCGCAACAGACGCTGCTTCCGGGGAGGTGGTCAGAAAAGACGCACCATCCCCAGTAGAAATGAAGTGCTCGTGTATTTCCGCTGCAAGCGTGTCCCAAGGCGTGCTGAGCTGAAAGGGACAGGCGCACAAGCCACAGCGCTCCGGGAAAGCTTGCTGCAGAGCGCGCATGATAGGGCACCAGTGGCGGGCCATACGCACGCGGGAAGCTTGCTGAAGTACAGCGCGGCCTTGAGCGGTAAGGGCAGCGAGGCCGGCGCCTTCCAGCCAGTCTGCCAGCCAAGCTTTTCTGAGGGGCGTGCCGCGCTCGGCGGCAGCCGCTTGGATGAACTTGCGCGTGTCGAGGCAAATATCGCTGTAGCCAGCGGATACAGTCGTGGACGTCTCTCGAAGGTCCTTGTCCAACAGCTGCACGCTGTGCAAGTGCGCCGGAACTCGGCCGCCAAGGAACATCCGTCGGGTGCGCGACACCACCAGGTCCGCCTGTCGGAAGCAGACTTTCGCCGCCTTGTTGTCGCGGCATTGAGCTGCTTCGCTCAGCTCCGCTTGCACTCGCCGCTCCGCGGCCCACTGCCAAGTAAACCTTCGCTGCTGGATCCCCAGCAGGTCGTAAAGAAGCTGGAGCACAAAGTATAGCATCCGCGAAGAGAACACGCTGCGATGCTTGCCAGCATTGCAAAGACAAATCAGCCGGACCTGTGGCACTTTCTTGCCTTTGCACACGTGGCGCAGCCAGCACACCACAGTCAAAGTCAAGGCCCACATGGCGTTGAACAAATAATTGTCGCCACCCTGCTCGAACTGATGCCAGAGACAGCCACCGTCCAGCGTGTGCTTCCAGCAGCTGTGCACCCTGTGTGCAGTCATGAAGTCATCAAGCCAGAGCAGCAACGCCGGCACCACCACTGTAGTGGAAGCTAAAGCCTCGGTCAAGCCATCCCGATCGGCCTTGGCCCCGTCAAAATCCGAGTCCCATCTCGGGTGGCAAACGTCCGTTTTGCCACCGGCGTAAAAGCCAATCCAAGAAGGCAGGTCGGACACCGAGTCTCGCAGAAGGTCTGCCAGCAACACAAATGCCGGATTCGGCGCAGCCATGGCGACGCCAGGCGGGCAGAAAAGCCGCGCCTAGGCTACTGCAGTTGCCAGGCGGGCAGAAAAGCCGCGCCAAGCAAGTTGCCAGGCGGGCAGAAAAGCCGCACCCAGCAAAAGCAGAACCAAACAAAACTTGCGAGGCTGCGCGTGTGCTGTGATGTGATGTGTGTGGCGATGAGCCTTTAGGTAGACCTTGCGTGTGCGTGTGTGTGTGTGTGTGTGCTGTGCGGTGTTTTTGTGATGCTGTTGAAGTATGCCAGTTGACTCATGCCTGATGTGAGGCTTTGAGCAGGTCGAGCATTTTCAAAAATCAGTCATTTCAACATGAGGTAAGCCAACGTTGACAGCAAGGTGCCCTGCAAAATTCCCGATGTCGGGAGCCTCGTTTTTCAAAAAACCAACCACACAGGAGACTTTGTATTCTGACAAACTTCTTTGTGGCAGTAGAGCGAAACCACAAAAAAAGCACCGACCAGAGGTGATCAACTTCCTTCAAAATGTTATCGAATGCTTACAGCAATGGTGGTTCCCCATAAAAAAATGGTGGCTCCTAGTAGGGACACAAATCACGGACCCGTAGTAGCGCGACCTATTCTTTGGATCAATGAAGTCTTCCATGGTACCAATCACAACACATGTGGATTCAAAAACCTCGTGCAATTCAGCTACCTGCAATTTCCCATTTCAATGCTTGGTACTTGTCTCACGTATGTTTGATTATAGCTGCTTAGAGACCCATCGTACTTGATTCAATCCCCATGGTTTCCAAGGCCAGGGGTACCCCTATTCTGAGACCTACGTATTTCGTGGCAAGTGAATCTGGACTTCCAAGGAATGTGAATGAGCTAGGGGGCTAGCATGGGACAACATGCGAACTGATGTCAAAATAAAGGGACCCTTTTTGGTAATCCTTGAAGGGAAAACAAAAGAATCCAACCACCTCCAAACGGTTTACACTATTTGCGAACTGAGTGCTAGAATTACTACAAACACGCATGTGTCAATCCGAGTAGTTTTCTTCGCAAATCGGCTGCTG